GATGATGATGATGATGATGATGATGATGATGATGATGACACGCATTTACGTATTTGCCAAATGAGAAAAAAAAGATATGTTGGTATTCAGGTACAGTTATACAATCGTATGTTTATGTACATAAGTGCAACTCCTTTGTACAACGTCATATTGGTTCGCGTTATGTCATATGCGTACTCATAATGTCATATTATTTATTTGTGCACATCACATCATAGGGGTGCACATTTCTATTTTATTTTGCTTTATAGAGCCACTATGTTAGAAGATTCTATCAATCTTACAGAAATCTCTCAACAAATGATAATATACTTTACCTCTAACAGACACTTTGTCAACCGTGTTATGGTATATACTGACATAACACAACAACACAAGAGTAAATAGGGTCTCACTCAGATTCATTATGTGTGCGCAAGGGTGGTGGCTGACTAGATTGACAGGGTAATCAAAGTGAGACGAAGAACCAGAAAGAGATGTAGCAGACCACGAAACACGTTCCCACTATAGGAACATCTTATTCGAGGCAGCACCACTGAGTTCTGAATGAAAGCAAATCCCGAATTCATATTGTATATTCAATCGCTAAAATAAGCGACAAGAAATAATACTCATTAAATATATTATTCCTACATGGGAAAAAACGTAATTATAAATTTTAAAATGGGAATAATGGCCTCAAGATTTTTAAAACACTTTTAACTAAAGATTCAAATTAGAAAAAACATAAAGCAAAGAAGCAGAAATAACATTACTATAAGATTAGCAATATGGTTTCGGATGTGGCTTTCTTTTTCTAGGCTTTCGAGGCTAGGAGCCAATGCCATAATCCTGCCATGACCTGATTAAAGGGATGTGGATCTAAAAAGTTGAAGAAATAAAAATAAGCACTGATTATAGTGGCCACAAGATTATTAGGAGTCAGTCTCCCTCACCTTTTTCGTGCAGACTCTACAAGTCTAATTGATAGGTAACTTAAATCAGTCCTGGTGGCTGTTAATGAAAGTGGTCCGAAAGCAGTGAACAGGAAATCTATGTGGCAATGACACTATTTGAGAATTGTGCGCATTACTCATTGATGAGTTCATGAACGTCTATTAAAACTTTTAAGGCCTACGTCTATGGGTGAATTTTGATATTTCCAAATTAAAGAAAGAAAGCAGTGATTATCTGCTTATATTGA